TATATATATATATATACCGTGTATTTGTTGTCACCAGTAAATGAAATTCAAATAACACAATCTTCAATAACAATTTCCCCAACAACTACCATTACTGAGTAAAATCCCTAGATTTCATTTCAAAGATTGAAAATTTGAAAGTAGACAACATGGTAAAAAAAAAAAAAAATAAATAAAAAATAAAAAAAACTTGTGCACAGAATTGGAATAAAAAACTTCAATTGTTGGAAGGGATTGAAGAATCAAGGTGAGATATTTTACCTAGTTCTTATCTCTCTATCACTGATCCTTATCTTCAATTTTTGCTTCCTTTGGGAATCGTGGGAATCGTCGTGGTCCACTACGACGCCGTCTCAAAGAAAGAAAGGGAAAGCGAAACGATACTTTATTGTCTTGTCGTTTATGTTTAAACAAACGACGGTCGTATTTTTCGAATTATCTCTTTTCAGTTTGAAGTCATAAAAGACTCGCGGAAAAGCTGGATATTGAAATGAGATTCATTATTTAAATCCACTTATCAATGAGTTGTATCCTAACATACTTATTTTTAATATATTTTTTATTAGTTAAAAATTATTAAAAATAAAAAAATTAACAGATGAGCCATTAATAAAAGAATGCAAAACTACTAACTTTTTTTTTTATTTTTTTAATAAATTTCAGCTAATTAAAAAAAAGTATTCAAAAGAGTGCGAGAGAAAGTGTCATCTATTTTTTAAAGATTATTTATGAATGACAATACTTAACTATATTTTTAATATGATTTTTTTTAGAAAAACGTTAATTCTTAATTTTTAATTTTTAATTTTTAAATTAAATTTTAATATTTTAAAAGAATTTATTAAGAATTAAAAAACTTATATTACAATCTTAATTCTAAAATATAATTTATATAATAAAAATATTTATTTATTATAAATCTTAATTATAATATAATTTATATATTTAAAAATATTTATGTATGATGACATTTTTTATAAAATAAGATTTTATCTCAGGTATTATCTAAGTTAAAATATTTGTTATAATTAGATCATATAATAAGTAATAAATAAATTATAAAAATAAATCATTTAAGTAAAGAACTAAAATTAGTATAAAATAATTGTATTATATGTTTTATAAGATAAAAATGCATAATAAATAGTTAGGTAATAATTCACAAATAGATTTAAGTCTTCTAAATTCAAAAAGTATGTCTTGAAAATAAAGTATAATAATAATAATAATAATAATAATAATAATAATCATAATAATAATAAAAATTACATGTAAAATTTACTATTGGCATTGTAATTAATTTTAAATTTTGTTATATATGTAGTTAATTTAATGATAATTTTCAATTGTTCTTCAGAAAATTAATAATTGCAAGTGTATTTTATTTTTTAAAGTCTAAAATATAATTTCCTTATTTTAAATAAATTGAATCCAAATTTCATATATATAAAAAGTATTTATTTAAAATATATAAAAAAAAATTAAATTTTTATATATTCTCAATATAAAAAAATATTATCAACTAATAAGGAATCATGACGTTTAAATTAAATATTGTTAAAATCAATAAATTTATCATGCCTAAGAATTTGTAATTGAATAATAATATTAAAACTCTTAATACTATGTGTGCATACAATATTTACTCTAAACATATTTTAAAACATATCTCTTAAAAGAGTTTTAATGATATCAGTGGACACTAAAAAATTATTTTAAGTTTATGGATAAAAACAAAGTTTCAAGAAATGAGTTGTATAAAAGAAATATATCTTGACATTTTTGTTATAAAGATCATCAAGAATAACAAGTGTCAAGTAATAGCCTTCATAATTCTCTTTTCTAATGTTCAAACAAGCATCTAGTAGTATATTCTCCTTGAGTATTTTTATAAAACTAACTTGTACACATTTTTTTAAGAAAAAAGAGTAGTGACTTTATTTGTACATATTTGGTCATGTCTCTTCCTCTCTAAGGATAAGACAAGATAAGAAAAAATATTTTACATGCCTACTTATTTATGGTAATAAATGTATGACAAACATGTGCACACAATAATGAATACATAATGCTTTATCCACATGACACTACAAGATAATTCTTAAACTAGTTGACATGATCGAGTCATGATAAAACATATAATACAGATTTAAAAAGTTTTCTCCTCTAACATTGTCTCAAAATGTCTCTTTTTAAGAAGCTATAAAAGTAGACTTTTAAAAGACAAGAAATATGGATGAAGAGAAAAACAAGTAATAATCCTTTTCAAGCACATCATTGCCCTTCAAGAAAATATTCTTAGAGGCATCCATAGCTCACAAAATGCATTTTTAAGTAGACTATCTAGTACATTATCCCTTTTGATAGTATTGTTGACTCACTAGCAAAAACAACTAAATTTAACTTAAATTTGTAATATAGGATTTAACCTAGGTCATTATTTTCGAAGATACAAATCAATTGAATTAGAAATAATCATGCAATGTTAGAAAGGAAATTTTTAATGGAATCAACTGAATCACAAAAAATTAAGAATGCAATAGTAAAAATCAAGAAATTCCAATTGAAATAGCATCAATTCAAGATTTCAATCCTTTTGAGAAATTTTTTATGATTCAACAAAGAATTCAAGCATCATTTTTTCAACAAGAATCTAAATTGAATGTAGATCTGGATCTACGAATTTCTCAAAAACATAAATAAAAATCGAACATCATAATTTAAAAAAAAAATAATCAAATTGAACGATTGATTTAGGTAATTAATCAATTACCTAATCCTTGTTTAGATTGGATTAATCAATCCTAATATAGATCCAAAAAAATGCAATTAATAATCACAAATCATGAAATTAGATCTAGAAATGAAGAATTCATATGAAAAAATTAAATCATATACTCAAATTTCATCACAAATCTTTATGTGTTAAATTGATAAGTGGATTAGACAAACATCTCCATCAAGATGCTTTAGCAAAATCAACAAGAAAAATAGGAGAAAAAATTAAGGGGGTGTATTGTTTAGGATTTTATAGGATTTTAAAAGACTTTTTTAAAGTAAAAAAAGTCTGTTGGTATTTAATCAGAATTTTATGCCACTTAAAAATAATCTAGTGATATTCAATATAGATAAGATTTTTTAAAGAGTCCATTAAAATCCATTGGTATTCATTTGAGACTTTTTACAACTTAAAAACAATCCATTGGTATTCAAAAATATAAAGATTTTAAAGGGTTGTTGTATTAGAGAGATTTTGAAGGACTTTTTAGTAATATCTATAAATATCAAATTCATAAAACAATCCTGTAACGACCTGCCATGGTCGTCACACTACGCAACAAACAACTAACTACGCATATACATATATTGAAGCAGTAATATAGTATCAGCACATCTACATCTCATGAATATGTACAACTATATTGTTTGTCCAACAACTATATATGAATATCTATACAAAAGTATCTACAACCAGTAGTCTACAAAATAAAATCCAACTCCAAGCACCACCTGTGGCTTCATTGCTATTCTCCAGCCTATCCCTGCTCTGCTCCCATATAATGTATGATCATCGCAGTCCAAACCATATGGAAACATGCAAGGGTAAGCTAGGTAAAATAAACAACTCATATAATTAAGTATGCAATACATCAACATATAATTCATTTTCCACATGGTACGCAGGTAACAACCAACACCTATGTTACACATCTTAACAACACTTCAACATTACAACACATATCAACATTGTATCAACACATCAACATATATGCGTCGTCACACATTTCAACTCGGAGATCTCCTACACCACAGAGTGAGCAATCTAAGTGGCTAGGTCCCACCGAACCGTCAACATAGAACCTTTTTGGGCTTGCTAGGTAAACAACAAATTTGGATAAAAATCCACAACACGATAACGATTTCTCAGACTTTGCCACTTAAACAAGGAAGTATAGTACTATGTTAGAACAGGACAATTAAATTTAGGCCTACCACAACATCAGCTAGCTCAACTAAGCCACCTATGGGATTAACCTACTAACTATGCTCCAAATACTAAAACCTCCGATACTCTGTTAGGAACTAAGTTCCCATCTTCGTACTTTATTTGAAATGGTCGCTTGTAATCAGTATAGCTCAACCTGGCCCTTGTACCGTGGTCGCTTCATACACGTGTGCCTCGACCTTTCCCACACACGGGACCAACTAAGTCCTAGAGGAGAATAACACAACATCCACTCCAAAGGACAACTTCTCAAGAAGGGTTTTTCAACAAATTGGGCTCTTAGAGCACCACAACTATCTCAATCCACACAATGAGATGAACAACTTTTAAAACATCTCCTCTAGTCCTAGTGATCAACAACTCATCATCACAACACAATCAACACACAACTCAGCAGCACAGTTCAGCTCAACAACTCAAAATAACAACACAATATCTCATTATATTTTCAGCACAACAACTAAGTCA